TGTCTTGTATTTTAGGTTAGTAAAGATTCAACAAATTATGAGTTGTCATATTCCACTATAAATAAAAACCAAATAGACTAACTCATAATTTCTTGACTCTTTACTAACCTAAAATACAAGACAGTTGACACTTGATCTTAAAAATAACCAATTTAACAGACTAGTGCTTTGATTTTCGTTGAATTATTACATGTAGTCTATGAAAGACGATATTCTAATATAGTTGTTGATATAAACTTTTTTGATCGAAATGAGTAAAACTTAAGAAACATTGATGATTGATAATTGCTAATCATTTGTATAATTGATAACAGTCTAGAAAATTCTCAATACTATTGTATTTATACGCTAACGAATTTAACGATGAATCACGCGTTAGAAATTTTTCACGAGTGAACACGCGTTAAATTTAGCAAATTTAACGCGTTTTCCAGGTCGAAATTGTAACATATTTAATCGTTAAGTCGTTAAATTTTTAACGAATTTTCATGTGAAAAGATTTCGTTAAATTGTAAAAAATTTTTACATGGGACCTATGGTTCCAAGAATCATAAATAAAGTCAAAACAATTCGCGTTAATTTTACACTTATTTCAAGTAACATGTTGAATAGATAAAATCCGATAAGATTATTTAACGAGTATAGAAAAATAGAAATATAATAGTAATATGTATACCTTTGCTTAATTAATTTTTCTCTTGCAAGAAAAGAAGTTCTTCTATTCTATAGAAAGATGACTAAAGGATGCTATTCTTAGTTTTCATACTGAATTATAACGTAGAGGAGAATATTATAAATATACTCACGATATGGTTGAAAATTAGACTAATTTATAGACTCTTGCCAGGAAAAATATTAGCCAGTATAATGAAATGCTATTTAAAATGCTGATAGATAAGAATCATCTATGATCATAATGATTAGTCTTTCCGAAATTTCTATATCCGCTACTGCATCACAGTACGAACTTCACTCGTGTCTCACCCAATTTTCTGTTTTATAGGCTAATCTATGTTTTTTTTATTATGCTGTTCTTATAATTTTTAATGAATAAAACAAGAGATCAAAATAACGGGTGTCCCAGGAATAATGAGCCTCTCAGTATTTTTCAGATTTCTTCTCTATTATCCCTGTAATCGAAGTTGTTTTTATTATCAAAAGATAGCGCTTGAAATTCCGTACAAAATCGTATATGACTAGACCACAAAACAGTTTTAGATATATTTGGAAAAAAGTCAAAAAGCAAAGACACACACACAGCTGTAAAATGTAAATAACGGATGTCTCATAATAAATGACTGCACTTTGCATCTAATATTTTAATCTCTAAATACATTTTATTAGAAAAACAAAGCATGCCACAAGATGCAGCGTGAAAAGCTCTGCAACCTACAAACTAAATTTTATTTTAATAATATTCTTTTTGTTTTCAAAACAAGCAAAACTCTGTGCCACCGATTTTCGCCATTGTGAAAAAAATGATTTTTTTCCATGAACAAGAATTCCTTTTTCTTAGTTTATCTTTTTATCACGCAATATGTTTTCTTTAAAAGAAACAAAATATACTACACGATGCGGCTTGAAACGCGCTACAGTTTACAAAGAACAGTTTATTTTATTTGCATCCTTTTTATGTTCAAAAAAACTCCAAATTCTATGCGATCGGTTTTCGCAAAGACGAAAATTGATCGCACAGAGTTTTCTTTTTTTTTGAACACAAAAAGAATATTATTAAAATAAAATTTAGTTTTTAGGTTGTAGAGCTTTTCAGACTGCATCTTGTGGCATGCTTTGTTTTTCTAATAAAATTTATTTAGAGATTAAAATATGCAGTGCAAAGTGCATCCATTTATTATGGGACATACAATTACATTTTACAGCTGTGTGTATGTCTTTTGTTTTTGACTTTTTTCAAATATATCTTAAACTGTTTTATGGTCTAGTCATATACGATTTTGTACGGAATTTCAAGCGCTATCTTTTGATAATAAAAACAGCTTCGATTACAGGGATAATAGAGAAGAAATCTGAAAAATACTGAGAGGCTCATTATTCCTGGGACACCCGTTAGAAGGATATATGTTGAAAGTTATAATTAATAGAACGTACCGGGCCAGTGTCCTCGCTCGATGTTCACTCAATGGAAGTATCTTCCATTGAATAGAAATAAAAACAATAGAAATAGAACATTTGAAATAGACTTTTTTAAAAATTGTATCAAAAATGCAAATTAATAGCATTCGGCAACTATTGAACTGGAATTCGATAATAAAGGAGCTCGCAATAGTCTCGACTGTTGAAAAAAGCTGGCAGATATTTCAAACATTGAAATGCAGTTGATCTCTGATTGATAAGTATGTCTCCATCATAATGTGAAAACAAAATTTTCATTCTCTTGACTAACATGTTATATTTTATGTCACTATATTTTAGAAAAATTACAAAACATGCTAATTTGATTAGGAAATTTATAGTTCTACATAAGAGAACATGCTCGACTTTGTGGTATAACAGATGCACTTCGAATTCGTGGTAGTTTTTTTTCTTTTTGTTTCATTGCAGTTGTTGGCCGTTGCATATCGATTAAATGTCGTTGAGGTTTTTCTGTTTGTACTTCAGGTATAAATTGTTTTAATCGAGCAAGTACTAATTCAAATTCTTTTCCAGTTCATCTGTCACTATGATTAGTTGAACGTCGAAAATCAATATAAGGTTTTTCAGCAAATACCATTGCCATAGGACCAGCTGGTGGCCAAGTACTTGCTTCTTCAAGTAATAATGGTATAATTGGTTTTTGAAGAGCATCAGATAAAGCCATTTCTCGTCGACAATTCATTGATTTTGTATATTTTGGTGTCACATATGATAAAATACATTTTGCATGACGTATTCCTGCATCAATTTTTTCAAATAATGAATCACCACCACCCATTTGAAATATATCAAGCCAACAACGATAACCTAATTTTGTTAATTTTTCATATAGATTAATAATATCTTTTTGATAATCCCATTGATATGATATCATTATTTGTGAATGAGTAACAACACGTGGTATATTATCTTGAATTCTAGTTTTATCTTTACTATCTTTTTTTGTTTGTGTTGGAAGAAAAATTAGATTATCAATGCGTGGTGCAAACCAATTATAATATTGTTGAGTTATCATATCAGGATCTGGTGCAACATGATAACGTATTTGACCGAGTAATTCAGTAAATTTATCAGTTGGCCAATAATTTGCATCATTATTTTTTCGATCATAAAAACGTATATATAAATATTCACTCATTATTGGTCCAAGTACACCTTCCGGTGGCCATGTTTGTTTTTCCATTTGTAAAGGTATTACTGGTTTACTTGTACTTATTGTTAAATGTACTTCACGTAAACAATTATCTGATTGTGCATAATTTTTATTTATACAGCAAATAACAACTTTTGCACCACGTATACCAGCATCAATTTTAGCAAATAATTTATCACCACCACCCATTTGTCCTATATCCATCCAACAAGCATAACCAGCTTGTTCAAGATTTTCTTTTAATTTTAAAACAGTTTTTTGCGAACCCCATTGATAAGAAATAAATATTGGTGGAAGACGTTTAATATCCATTGATATATCATCTGGTATAAGTTCACCAGCAGCTGTCAGAGCTTTACGAATAATTTCTTCGACATCTTGTCGGCCTATATCGTGTAAAACTTTTAAAAGTCCATATGTTGCTTCATCAGTTTTATGTGTCATGAACCATTCATTAAGTAAAGACATTGATGGATCAGTTTGCATAGCCCAATGTTTTAATTCACTTGTTGAATAACCAAAACGTTTATCAAGTAAACGCCAATCATTATCAACACGAATATTAAGAAGTTTACATACATCATGACCCCATTCAGATGGAACATAACTTAATGTTTTCATATCAATACGTTCTATTTCTTGACTATGTTGTTCAACTTGTTCGGCTATATCATTGATATATGTATCAGCTAGATTAATTCGTGTATTGATATTGGTAATCTATTTATTAGAAAAAAAAATATAAATTATTTCAAACTGTTTGTATCTCAAAAGATTTAGCATTAAATTAAAAATCTTACATTTAATTCTTGACGTTTAACTACTTTTGTTATATTCTGAACATTATGTTCCGTCTGAACAACACGTTTTTCCATTTGAGCTACTTCATCAAGAGTACGATTAACAGCTGCTTGATTTTCTTCGCTTAATTTGTTTCCATCAATATAATTAATAACAGCTTGACAAAAAGGATCTGATTCAAATGCTATTAAATCATTACGTTTAGATGCAAGAATTTCTTTATATTTTACTTCAATCAGTTGAAATGTATGAAATACTTGTGGTTTCAAATCAGCAGAAATATCTTTTGTTTTATTTATTAAATTTATTAATAAATTAAGATGTTCATCAGCTATTTTTTCACCTTTAATAATTGCTGATGCTACTAAACATTGTTGTAGACAACCGAATGCAGTTAAACTATGTTTTTCAATAACAAATTGTAAAAGTTCTTCTTGATATTTATCGAATAAATGTGGTTGTGCATTGGCTACATAACCAAGTGCGTGAAAAATCAAATTTGTTTGATCAAATCAACCCGTATGGTTTTTAATCGAAGTAAATAATAAATCAATATGTTCAGACGTTATTAATTCTGGATGTGCTTTAACAATAGTAGCAAACAGAACAGACAGAGATCCTAAATATTCGCCATTACAATCGAAAAGAGTATGAATGAGATGGTCTAATCGTTCATGATATGGTTCTGGCCGTTTGTCGTAGAGTGTCTAAAAATATGTTATAAGTTGGTTGTTTACAAATCTATAAATAATTGCAGACTATAAAGTTCAAGTACTATATTTTCCAAAGTTTACAGACACAAAAACATACTTACAGAAAGCATTGTTAATAATTCTATTCGTTTACGATCGATAACTGCATCAATTAATTGTGGAATATGATCAATAGATATATTAGGACATTTAAGACCAATGATAATCCAAAAATCAATCCACCATTGATATAATTTTTCTTCTTCGTCTTCATATGCTAATTGATACAATCGATCAACACATGGTTCATAAGGACGTGCATCATCTTCATTTTGAATATATACTCCTATTGAACACCATAAAGGTGAACTAATTGCATCTGATATAGTCATTGATCCATCTTCAGCAGTGAATGGACAATTAATTGATGCAACAATGAAGCCAATTGTTTATGTAATGTCAATGGTAAAGTTTTTAATTGTTTAATACATTGAGCTAATAAACTGGCCATAGACTAAGAAAAATAAAAATCATTATGATTGATTTTTACTTGCATAAAAACTTACTAGAAAAAACTATCATGAAATTGATGAAAATCATAAGTTGTATCATTGTTCTCAATTTGTCTTTGAAGTATTTCAACGAATTTGCTACATATATCAGCATTTACTTGTTGTTGATCAATTAATTCCATCATTGTTCCTCCCATTCGATATACATGTTTACCATATGGTTTACCAGTATCATTATTGATAATTGCAGACCATTTTAAAATCGCTTGTAAAGCAGATTGATGTGCTGCTCGTAATACTGTTGCATAAGATTTACTTCGTTCATTAATTACACTTAAAATATTACCTAAGTCATCAAGACCAGAACAAAACGCATCGTCAATAATATGATCATAAGAAATACATGCTTGCATAAGAAGAGTTATTTTTTTATCCAATTGTTTCCATGGATAAAAATCTCTTATAGATAATATACTGAGCGCAAACTTAGGTGCTTCAATTATATTTAAATTAAGTATTGCAAGAGCAAAATCGAATAAAATTTCAGCTAACTTCTTATTAAGTTTTTTGTTTGTCAAGGCACAGGATATTGGTGATATTAAATCTTTACATAGAAGACTCCGAGATTCGATATTCACTAATGAACATAAACGAATTAACACATGAATTAATTCTTCAAGATTCGGTATCGAATCAAAATGAACGATAAGAACATTATTCATAAAATATTCTGCATGGTTAATTCTATTTTGCGATACAAGATTTTCCATTATTTTATATATTTGAGATGCATTCTTTTTGAATAAATCCACTTGACCTCCATAAAATTTAGAAATTAAACGAACATAATCAGATGATATGGACGATTCAAGACATGTTGTTAAATGAAATGATGCATCTTCAGAACTAACAGAACTCTCGAATAATGTTGACGACATACGATCCAAAACAACAAGAATCTCTGACCAAACTTTTGATTGATACGAATGACGAGCTGCAGATCTGGTGAAATACATATGTATATACTATATAGCTTCATTGAGCAAATTAAAATACTAGACACTATGTGAAATCAGTAGATACACTGAACACCTTTTGTAAAAGTGTTTCATTGTTTCCGATTCTTCGACTTTTATAGTTATGTGTCATTTTTTTTAAAAGTATTTCTCGATTTTTAAAAAGCCATATATTTTCATTTCAATACAAGTAACGAGCATATTATCTTTCCCGGTTTCAAATCGACTATTCATATTATTCAACAAAAAAAACAAGATTTGACAGTTCTTTTGCAATACTATACGACAAAAGTGAAATTACAATTGCGAAATTACCTGTACAATTGTTGAAAACTACGTTTCATTTTATTCATTATTTCTTCATAATTTAATTTGTTTTTATCAATAGATAATGATGAAAACACACCTCGTGATAAAAAATGTTCCTATGTTGCTTGTATTTTAGTATCCATATTTTGATTTAAAAATTCATGTTTTTGTAAACAATTTAATATCATATCAATTAAATCGACAGATAAATTTTTTGATAATTCTTCACCGAGTCGAACTTTATAATAAAAGGAGGGCGGCGTATAAGCAAGCCAATCGGTCCATTTTATTTCTCATTTCGAAGATATTGAAAACATGCACAGAACTACCCAAAAAAATGCGCTGAGTATTTTTACCAAAAAATTAAAGAGCTCAATAAACATTTCATGGACCGAATATATATAGCGTTACTTAATAGGGGACTAATATAGATATCTGAAATGACACCGTCTATCATCCATTAGAAAAAATCTTCCGAAAACTTGGAAAACTATCTCATTCGATAGACCTTGAAAAATTCTACAAAATGGTACGATACTTTGGTGGCTGATGGATGATACTTGGATGCTTTTTTCAGCAAATCCTCTGGAGCCACTAGTGGGTTTTTGTTGTGGACGAGGGTCGAAGCAGTATTGACTTTGGTCTACCTGACTGATATGAGAACGACATATTTATTTATTGAATGTTTACATGAAGAGGTAGACATGGGAAATTCTTTTAAAATTATGTTCATGGGGATAGATCATTGTCGCTGTTGTCGGTATCTGAGTCATTGAGAGAAGAGGCATTGTCATCGTCAGAGTTGCTGTCATCTTCGCTGAAGTGCATCCTGTCGTCGATGGCATTGATCAATCGAGATGCAGAGAGCGGGTGATTATCGGTTGGAGGGTGTGAGTGTGTGGATGTGGGTGCGGTGTGTGGGTGTGAGTGTGGGTGTGGGTGTGGGGTGTGAGTGTGGGTGTGGGTGAGGGTGTGAGTGAGGGTGTGAGTGTGGGTGTGAGTGTGGGTGTGAGTGTGGGTGTGAGTGTGGGTGTGAGTGTGGGTGTGGGTGAAGCTGTTCTAGAATAGACACCAACACGCCCACGCCCACGCCCACGCCCACACCCACACCCTATCTATCATAAAGAACTTTTCAAGGGTATGGGTCTGGGTGAAATAAACATCATCAGACAGAGTCACACTCATACCCCCGCCCCCCAGACACCCACCCACACTTACACTCACACATCCACACCTCGTATCTCGGTTTATTTTCAATAATCACAAAAATATGAAAATAACCTATTAGTTTTTCATTCCAAATGTTAAACATGACTCCACATTATATATCTACATTATTCTCTTTTTGAACAACCTTATTAAAAAAGGAAGTAGTAGATACCAAAAAAGCAGCGTTTGCGAATTTATTTAGAGAGCAAACTTCAACTAGAGATATTGAACATGAGAGATAAGTAAAACCTACAGAGAAATTCATTGTTAGATTACAGTAACTTACATTCCACCCCAAGAATTCATATAATCGTTACTTTCTATGTGCCCGAAAACAGAAACGTTTCGAATCTGAGGTAAAGACAAGATTCGCTTAACGTAAAGTTTTAGCTGATTTGATTTTTCAATGATTTTTGTATGGTCTAATAGAACTTGCAGAACTGATTATGATTATAAAGCTTTTATTTTGATTAGGTTCTCCTTTCGTTTGAAAAAGTTTCAAACACTAATAAGACCACACGTGTGACCAAAATCAAATTTTCCATCAACCAATTCTTAAGTTTCTATAAGTTTTTTAATTAACTCTCTGTGAACAATTTTTTTAAATGCAGCATCAGAAATTAAGTAAAAAGGGTGCAAGTGTTGACCAAGAGAAGAGGGTGTGGGTGTTGGCCACCTATTAGGTAACAGGCACAGCCACAGTCAGATGAAGCTGGGGGAAGTTTCTAGTAGCTGAAAAATCTATCCGTGTGAAAATTTTAGCTCGAAATTCAATCATTCAGGTTCTGAGAGATTCTACGGTCATAGCACAAAAACCGAGGACAATGCTCATATCTCGACAATAGAGGATCGGAAACCGAATCCAAATAGATATTTTCACTGCTCAAATGCTAATAATTTCAAGCGAAAAATGATTTGACATTTGGAAACTTCCCATAGTTAATTTTACAGATTTAAAAAAAAAATGAATGCTGTAATAAAAACTAATGAATTTGCAAGCAATTATCATAATAGTAAAGTTTGTCTTCACTCGCGGTTCGAAGAAAAATCTAATTCAACCGGTGAAGCGAATCGTGTTTGGTCTTGAAGGGATCGGGTAAAGAAAGTTCGTCAGAATATATCGATTACATCGTATCCTTTTCTCATAGAGATTAATTAAAATAGAAGCTAATTTTGAAAAGAAGTAAATCTATCATTTATTACTTACATTAATAGTCATTAAACAGACACTACAAACACAAATAACTACTTGTACTATTTTTACAACATAAATGATTTTTCATGAGCAAACATTAGTGAGTAAAAAGCGTAAATGATTAGCAAAGAACATATAGTAATACAATTAGTCTTAAAATAGTTCATCAATGTATAGTGCTAGAAATTTTCTAATTAAACCATTGGCTCCACGAATTGTTTCGCATAACCACTATTGGCAAATTCTTGTGCATAGACTTTGTGCCAAACTTCGGTTAACTTTTTCAAATAATCAGGATGTGTTGCACCTAATGCCGCTGGATTGAGAGCAAAGCAAACGACTACTGTACGGACACATGATGTCAAAATTGTCGTAATGATTGAACTCATCAATACACCAATTAGAAAACTAATAAAAACTATAATAATAATCGGTGCCAGTTTTTCTAATGGATCACTTATCAAAAGATACATAATAAGGCCAGCAGCAGCAGCTGAAATAAGACCTATACCAAGATTGATAAGCATCAAAGTAGTTNTACAAAGCAGAACTTGCCAATAAGTTTTCAGAGACGTTTCAGTTTTTTTTGTGGTCGATTACTGATAGAAGTATCTGGAAAAAAGGCAAATTCAGTATTGAAGTAGATAATGCTAGGTTTCAAGTGTGTTAATAAGCTGCTGCTACATAAATAAAAACTTGGAAGTTTTCTCTATCATCAGAAAAAAAATCAGCTCATTTGGTTAGAATACAGTGGAGATATGCAATTTTCTTTTTGGTAGGTGACTTTTGGGACACTCTGTATATCAGTAAAAAAAAATAACAAATATATTCATATTATTTCAAAATTCATAACAGTATCAATATGAAAAGCTTGAAATGTTTTTTTACATAATAGAACATGCTCGACTTTGTGGTGTAACAGGTGCACTTTTAATTCGTTGTCGTCTTTTATCTTGTTGTTTTATTGCTGTTGTTGGTCGTTGCATATCAATTAAATGTCGTTGAGGTTTTTCTGTTTGTACTTCAGGTATAAGTTGTTTTAATCGAGCAAGTACTAATTCAAATTCTTTTCCAACCCATCTTTCATTATCATTCATTGAACGTCGAAAATCAATATAAAATTTTTCAGCAAATACCATTGCCATTGGACCAGCTGGTGGCCATGTACTTGTTTCTTCAAGTAATAGTGGTATAATAGGTTTTTGAAGAGCATCAGCTAAAGCCATTTCTCGTCGACAATTAATTGATTTTGTATATTTTGGTGTTATACATGATAAAATACATTTTGCATGACGTATTCCAGCATCAATTTTTTCAAATAATGAATCACCACCACCCATTTGAAATATATCAAGCCAACAACGATAACCTAATTTTGTTAATTTTTTATATAAATTAACAATATCTATTTGATAATCCCATTGATATGAAATCATTATTTGTGGATGAGTAACAACAAGTGGTATATTATCTTGAATTATAGTTTTATCTTTATTATCATTTGTTGTTTGTGTTTGAAGAAAAATTAAATTATCAATACGTGGTACAAACCAATTATAATATTGTTGAGTTATCATATCAGGATCAGGTGCAACATGATAACGTATTTGACCAAGTAATTCAGTAAATTTATCAGTTGGCCAATAATTTTCATCATTATTTTTTCGATCATAAAAACGTATATATAAATATTCACTCATTATTGGTCCAAGTGCACCTTCAGGTGGCCATGTTTGTTTTTCCATTTGTAAAGGTATTAATGGTTTACCTGTACTTATTGTTAAATGTACTTCACGTGAACAATTATCTGACTGTGCATAATTTTTATTCATGCAACAAATAATAACTTTAGCACCACGTATACCAGCATCAATTTTAGCAAATAATTTATCCCCACCACCCATTTGTCCTGTATCCATCCAACAAGAATAACCAGCTTGTTCAAGATTTGTTTTTAATTTTAAAATAGCTTTTTGTGAACCCCATTGATAAGAAAGAAATATTGGTGGAAGACGTTTTATTTCAATTGATATATCATCTGGTATAAGTTCACCAGCTGCTGTAAGAGCTTTATGAATTATTTCTTTAACATCTTGTCGACCTATTTCATTTAAAACTTTTAAAAGTCCATATGTTGCTTCATCAGTTTTATGTGTCATAAACCATTCATTAAGTAAAGACATTGATGGATCAGTTTGCATAGCCCAATGTTTTAATTCACTTGTTGAATAACCAAAACGTTTACCAAGTAAACGCCAATCATTATCTGCACGAATATTAAGAAGTTTACATACATCATGACCCCATTCAGATGGAACATAACTTAATGTTTTCATATCGATACGTTCGATTTCTCGAGTATGTTGTTCAACTTGTTCAGCTATATCATTTATACGTGTATCAAATATATTAACACGTGTATTTAGATTGGTTATCTATTTATTAGAAGAAGAAGAAAAAAAGAAGATTATTTATTGATGTTCAAGAAAATATAATGACGAATTTTTTGTAAATTATTTCGAACTATTTGTATCTCAAAACATATATAACATTTAATTGTCTCTCAATTCGATCCAAGTAATCAATAATATTAGCATTAGCAAGAGAATTACTTCGGTCAAAGTCTATTATGTGGAATAAAATAATCAAGCTTTTAGTTTCTTTTTTTCTTGTCAAAAACTTTTAAAAACTAACGGGTGGCCCAGAATAAATGAAGGTCTCAGTATTTCGCTAATATCTCGCTCAATTTTCATTGTACAAGATTAAATTTTTTTCTAAAAGATGCGCCACTCTATTCTTGGCAAAGCGCATGTCGAGAACTCTTTTGAAGACAATTAAGGAGGAAACGCTTTAAATAGTACTGAAGACATACGAAAAGGCCAACTTTCAATGATGAAAAACCGTTTTTGCTCGTGTTTTCGTTGGCTAGTTACGATTGAAATCAAAGAAAATAAGCATTTTGTAGCC